GTCAAAAAGGGCTTGCATTAACTAAGATTAAACTAATATTGCAGCTCATAAAAAATGGTATTGTTATTAAGATAACGTATGCAAATAATAAGTTAAATGTTAATAGTAGCTGTGCTATATCAGACACAACCTGTGAGAACACCAGTTATTTTCATTATCTGTTAACATGGACACCCAAAAAAAAAACAAGCGTTGCTCACGCTCTGCTCGCGTGTGCGGTGTGAAAGAGGCACAAGTTTCAGGTTAAGCAGTGCATGCAGGGCTGGTACGTGGAACCATGTTTTTTTTTTTAGCTTTGATTAGTGCTGATTTCAAATGCAAGTATCAGTGCTCATAATTGGTGGGTGTGGCTAAATTTAGGCTATTGCTTCTCAGTTTTTTGAGGAAAAAAAAGTGCTACCAAGCAAAAAGGTTAAATTTGAGCCCTGATATTGTATAAGATATTATACCAAGTGAGCTGATTAACCCGTTTAATATTTTAGAGGTTCTCAGAAGCAGAAGCTGTCATATTTGAGTAAACTTTTATATATGAAAACTTGAACAAAAAATATTTTTGTATTTTTCTGTTGCCGCAATAACTCAAACAGCAAAGAAAAATTCCATTATTAAATAGAAAAAATATTGACTGAAGAGACAGTCCTAAGAGAGAAAGATCATTATTCAGTTCAATGTTGATTCAATTCAGTTATAACAAAAACAACGTCAATTTTGTTGGCTTCATTGTTATTAAAAAACCTAATAATCTGTAAAGCAGCTCTCCAGAAGATAATATTGTCATTATCCAGCTCATCTTAGTTTATGATTTATTCTTGCCATGTTGACGGTAACAAAGGAATCTCGTATACAGAAATGAAGATGGTCAGGTTTTAGAAGATTCATAGATGTAGGGAGTCCATGCCTTAAATGAGAGAGAGAAAGAGAAATGACAGACTTGGCCGTGTGCCTGGCCCTCAGGCCAGAAGCTTCAGTCCTTCTTTGCCCAAGAAGATAGAGCTCAAGTGAAGAGGAGTTAAAAGAAGCAAGAGTGAAAGAAGAAGACAGCCAGCATATGTTCCTGTCTTCTTTCATTCTGCCCTTGACTATATGACTTGGCAAAACCTAAGACATTCAGATTGACCGGAGCACATTTCAACCCGCACAGCACTACAGGCGTGGAGCTGGTGGGTCAGACCCCCAACCTTCAAACATCTCACCCACCACGAGCCGATGTCAATCTGCAACTGTGCGATATGCAAAACTTCCCTTATAATTGGAAGGTAGAGTTTGTGACGAAGGAGTAATTAGTGGTAATTAATTTTTGTAATTATTTTCCACCAACATATTAGGAGTGATTCACTTAGGTATGACAAATTGTTTCTCAAACTATTCAGAATCAACCTCACAACAACTCATTTTCAATTATTAATAATTCTGTTGATGTGGAAACACTATATAATTCTTGACAATTTTACCAGCCAAGGGAAAAGGGCAACAAAATGAACTTAATTAAGAGTCTAAATAAACATATTTTAGGTATTTTGTGCAGAATTTATATATGTAAACGTTTAGGTTTTTGCTTTAAAAAAATCTATACACCAATTTGGCAGGATTACTTATATTTTTGAATGGAATCTCTTTAACACTTTGTTAACACACATCATTCATTAGTTCATGTATTTACTGACATTAACCAAGACTGAATAATCTTGTAAAGATTAACTATAGTTCAGCAATGGCAAATGCATTATTAAAAATCCATGTTGTGCTTGTTAACATTACTGAACACTGAGTTAACATGAACTAATGTTAAGTAACTAAAATAACATTAATGTTAACAAAGATGAATAAATACCATAATAAATTTATGAATTACCATAATAATTAACATTACCTAATGATCCATTATTTTAAAGGTGCCATATACTGAATTGGTTTAATAAGTTAATTGTTCCCAGATATCTCCATAGTAGGTTTATGGCTTCAATAAGTAAAAAAAAAACTCCAGAAGCTCATTTATTACTCCATAAAATACCCATAGAATCAAAAGGTCCATAATAGACCATATATGGTTTGTGTCTTGAATATTATTGAGCTCCGATCTGATGTGCCGCTCTTAAAGACACATACACAGCATGATGTACTCTGAACACTGACAAATTTAAACCCATCACAGTAACATTAACCTATTTTTACCAACAGATCTGTTGTGGATAAAGGCCAAAAAGAGTAATTGAGATGTATGGCATTGTATTTTAGTCAAATATTATATTATCAAATATTTCTATAGTCAAAATAAACACAGCCAGGATTTAATATCAACCTCTGCATGAACATAGGACATTTGAGCTGAGTGATTTTACACAATTCAGCAGTCTACACTTGTTTGTTGAAACATACACATCGAATTTCACAATAAACACAATGGGCTCTATTTTGACGATCCATGGGCAAAGTGCAAAGTGCAGGGCGCAAATGCATTAAAGGTGTGTCCGAATCCACTTTTGCTATTATAAGGACGGAAAAATCTGCTTTGCGCCGTGGCGCACGGTCTAAAAGGGTTGAGCTCTTTTTCTTAGTAAGTTATAGGTGTGTTTTGAGAATAAAAAAATCAGAGTCTCATCTCCTATTCCCTTTAATAGTCAGTCGCGAGATAGCACATTTGATATTTACATGACGGACTTTGTAAGTGAAAAAAACTGAGCATTTCATTAGCAAGAAAACAGTTAATCAGACCATCTACGGCATGAGAATGAGAGATGAGCCTCCTCGTTATTTACTTTCACACACAACTAACGCGCTCTGCGCTGGACAATAGACCAGCTTTGATCTGATCTATTTGAAACGTCTATTTAAGTTCCTCAAGATATCAACGCGCCAGCAATGCACTTCAACACGCCTCCCTTTTTAGATTAGAATGCCTATGAGCGCAAATGCATTTGTTATTTAAACAGCATGGCGCAAAACGTCAAAACGACTCTTGCGCCAAGCTGAAACTAGCAAACAACAATTGCGTCGTGCCTTGCGCCACATTGCGCCGGGTGTATGATAGGGCCCAATAAGTTAAGAAAAGATGTACCTACCTTATGCCTCTTCAGAGTGGAGATTATTAAATGTATAATCTGTAAATCTTGCAAAATAAACTTTGTCAATTTGAGGCCAGTTTAAATATGCCTCATGCTGTTGTTGCCTAGTAACGCAGAGTAAATAAATTGCTGATCGTGTTTTCAAAATAAAAGTCCTACTTACATAGTAAGTAAAATGTAAACTTAAAAATAATGAAGGGGGAAATAATCATTGTTGTCTCACTAGAAAATGTTTTTGCTTATTAAACGCAGCATGAGACATGCATTTTAATGATCTTTATTTCTGATCTCAGAGCTTGATGACATGGCTGCTCGTCAGGTCTGGATAAATGAACTTAAGCAGGCATACAGGCAAACGAGGAGGGCATGGCACGTAAGTCTTGTCACAGTTTGTTTTGACTTCTAATTGGACTGTTGTCCACCAGGGTTTAACACTCATGGAATTTACATGAGAATAGGAAACAGTGGTGTCTGAGGCTCACAGTATGCCTATTTCCATATACTGATCTTCTATTATTCTACTATGCCTTCCTATACCCACATTTTTATTCTAGGGCACCTTTACAGTCTTACCAAAATCTCTTTTGCTCACCTAAATAACTATTACAAACACACACATTTTTTTCTTATAATTAGTGTTGGTTTTCAGGATACGTTATTAACAGAATGTTTAAGTGAAGTTTACTCATAAACTAATTTCGAGAGGATCACGTGCTTATGATTTATCACGGCCAGTCTCGCATTTGCTAATCACTAATCTTCCAATCATACGAGCCCTAAGCTACTATAAATAGCCTCAGTTTTCAGTTCACTTTATCTTCGTTTGGAAGAAACCCCCCTCCTCCCCTATTCTCCTCCTTTACCTGTGATTGGGTGGCACGGCGGCCCAGTGGTTAGCACTGCGAGCCACACAGCAAGAATACTGCCGGCCCTAGTTCCATAGGACCGGTGGGTGTTTCTGTGAGGAGTTTGTATGTCCTCCCCGTGTCCGCGTGGGTTTTCCCCGGGTTCTCCGGTTTCCTCCCACCATCCAAAGACATTCAACATGCATAACAATCAAGCTTGTCTAATCCCTTGCGTTCCCTTAGCTACAGCAGCAGGGGAGTTCTGAGATCCACCGAGCTCGGGCTCCCCTCTTGCTCTGCCAACGGGAGGAAGCCCCGGGCTCGAGGAGCCCTTGAGCTCGGGGCTCTCTCCCGGGACAGAATGCCAAACAAGCTTTTGTAAATCATCAGCTAAGTGTGAACTCTTGAAAGGAAAAAGAGATATCTTGATGATTCGTATTAATACAATTTTGGTTTGAGCAATACTCATGGAAAGATGTATTCTGCAAGACACCAATACAGTTGCATTATATTTTACAAAACTATATACTTAAAATAAAACAGCGCAAAGTAAAAGAGTATGGGGGATTAATATTATATTTGTGCTTTAAAGATGCACAATTTTGCACAGTGCACGACCCACTTTACACTTTTCATTTTGCTAATGTTTGAGGCTTCTTTTAGAGGCATGCTCTGATAGCGATCACATGCAAAGTGATAAAACATAATTAATAAACTGTAACCTGCCAAACTGATTAGTGCGCTGATTTGCATTACCCACCACTGTCAATTATCACCCGTATTTGGCAGGTTAGTGGGTGTTAATTTCAAACCCTGTACGTGTAAGATGTAAATGTATTTTGCTAAATCCTCATATTGTTAGCATGCAATAAAGAACGACTTTTTTTTTTTTTTCAAGAACAACTGCAATACTATTCACTAGAAATGTTGCAGCAGTGAAGGCAGACTTTCCATTGAGAGTCATGTTTAAATTCGGTGTCTATTCTCTTTGATTATTGTTCCGGCTGGAACATCACAGCCTTGTAAATCTGAACAAGGTGCAAATGAAAGTACCCACTTCTGCACAGGAAAGCAACAATAAACCCAGACTCACCTTGGGAAGCTGAAAGTAACTTCTTAGGTGCTGATGTTTCTTGGTGGCTCACTTTCAATGCCGCGCTGCTAGAAACTCCTTCTGCACTAGATGAAAACTTCAATTTGATGACACATTTCCCAGAATTTGTCTGTGAAAACATTTCAAAACTTTCCTTTAATGGACTGTACTCAGGAGTTTACCAGATGTTAAGTGCTTTAAGTTATTTCCTTCAACTGTTCAACCTAGTTTTGTGTAGATTACACAAGAACACCTTCCACAGTGCCAAGTTGTAGAAAAACCCTTTGCCTTAACTCTCACAAAAAAAGTATTCTAGATCACATTAGTAAGACACTGTTTGTTTTCTTGCTTCATTTAATGGCAATTAATTCCTTTTTAAACAAGTTGCAGTACAACTCAGGTTCTCAGAGAGACTGAAATTAAAAGACTTAGTGTTGACTATATTGCATTCAACAATTAGGATGCAGCACACAAGAGTAAATAACAAAGCTTTGTGTTGATTATTTATAGCCTTTCAGCAAAATTACCCATTTAATTTTCAGCATGTCACAGCATTGTCCAAGTGTTATTAAAATGCAAAACTGTTACCCAACCATGGCGCTGGGCATTTACTCCCTAAAGTCCTGAAGGCGCTAGTCTATCAAAACGCTGCTTCAAAGAAGTTACTAAAGTACTGTATGTTTGTTTTCTGACCAATAGTACAGTACATAAAGTAAGTGAAGTCAGGACTCCAAAAATTGGTATATATGCTCTTTATTCAAAGATGCTGACGTTATATCTGGAGATTTGTTCTGTTCCATTTGCACTAGTGCAGTTTTCTTTTAAAATGGCGTTTTAGAAAGAAAACACTCCTCATCCAGACAGGCATTTTTATTGCAATTCAGAATAGCGATCTCTTTCTTTGCATAGTAAAATGCATGATATGTGACCATTCACACTCACTTATTATTTGGTGGAATTCGTACTTACAGACTTCAGCTTGTGTAATGATCATATAACAGAGGTTTCATGAATCAGGAACAATACAGAATGGTCCAGAAGACCAATCAGGGAGTATTTGTGAATAGCCATATTTCATCCATCTATATTAGTGGTGCCCAGACTTTTTTGTATCAAGGGCCAAAAATCAGATATCACTGAGAGCCATGGGCCGGAGGTAAATATACCAAACTCTATTACATTAAAGTTGCCATGGGTAATTTTTTTCATAATATTTTAAAATCAATAGAACACATTACTTTAAATGGTATTAACTAATGCAGTATAACTTTGTAAATGACAGTGGAGTTCAATTCTGAATAAACTAGTCAGGTGGAATCTGCTTTTGACCTGATTTGATCACCAAAGTCTCTGCATTGTCGGGTGACAGTATGTACATTTAAACAAAATCTGATTAACTTACACCATTTAATTGAAAATTAATTAAATTGCTTTTAACAAAACAACCAAAGAATTGGTTACAAAAACTTTTCATTTTTACCATGGTAAAAAAAAAAAAAAAATTCTTTTTTAAAGTTTACCATGGGCCAACTTTGGTCCATGGGCCCTACTTTAGGCATTTCTGGTCTTTATACAGAAACTGAACATCAGCATTTACAAACTAAATGTGATCTTTATCATTTATAAAATGCTGCATTTTTGCATATTAAAAATGCGTAGTTTTGACGTCAGGTGTAACCATAACAAAATGGATGTGTTTTAAAACAAAAAACGAACTAGTGTATACAGCATCTTGGCATATTAAATAGTTCCATTTGAATAGTAAAACTTGTGTATGTGTTGTGTGTAGCAGGTAATATGGATTATAAATGGAGGTGTGGCTTGAGGAATATAAAGATTACTATAGTTGGAATGAAAGCTAAGTGTCTTGTTTATGGCCAGCGGAAATAGATTGATGCTCCAATTTTTGTGCAAGGAGTTCGCATGTGCCTTTCTATTGGCCCATTGAGACTGATATGCATGATTTGAACAACAAATTAAAGTGTGTGATTGTTTTTGTTAAGCATAATAAATGTTTCACTGTGCATTTTGACGGAAACTAAGGGATGCTTCCATTGTTTGCATGCGAGGCATTCACATGTGGAATCTATTGGATCATTGAGAGTGGTACGAGGAATTTAAGTAAGGAATTTTAATGTGTGTTTGTTTCTTTAACATAATAAAAATGTTTAATTGTGCATTTCAGCTCTGTGGAGCCCGTTTGTTTCTCTTGTTTTGTTTTGCATTTGTTCGATTAATTTTGGTTTGGTTATTTTGTCTAGTTATTTTTGTCATGTCTATTTTTGGTTGTTTATTATTTAATGTTTATTTCACATGATTGGTATGTCTAATGAATTGACAATGTTTTGTGTGTGCGTGTGTTCCCTAGGTTTAAAAGCTCAATCTCTATCTGCTGTGATATACAGTTCTGTAAGCAACCAATAAATCTTGACAAGTCTGTTCATAAAATAGCTGAGTTTTTGGTGGGTGTTGAAAGTCAGGGTGGGCCCTATAATGTGTATTTCAACTGTTTAATTTGTAATAACACAAGGAAATACACAGTTGCTGAGGAATACTCAGGAGAATGCCTGCTAATCAAATACACAGGCAAAATCAATGAAATATTAATAAGTCATTATAGTGTAGTCAATATATACTTTATTTCCTGGGAGCTTTTTGCTTTTCTGTGCATTGTTTTCGCATAGTACAATAAAACATATACTGTAATGAGCTATAATTTACCTTTTTGTCAAATAAACACATTTTTTTGCTTTTTCTTTTTCGAAAAATAACACATTTTTGATATTTTGATGGTTAAATTAAACTTGTATGGAAATTAAAAGATAATATTGGGCTAATGCTACTACTAGACATGATATTTTTTCCAAACACTTTTTCCTCCCTGGACAAAGACATAACTCAGCCTTTAAGCATGCTAAAATACAACATGAAGACAATATTGATCCTTATTCTTTCACTCAAACCCAAACAAGCATGACCTCTAAAAAGTGAAATCCTCACACATTCAAACTAAGCGTATTCAATGCCGCTGATGGAGCATTTATTGTAACTAAAGTCTGGGAAAGTTGCCATGGTGAAAGAGCCACAGAAACTGCAGCCCGCAATTTCCTAATCATGTTAATCGACTATAATATGACAGCAGTACAATAGAAGAGACAGATAACAGTTAGTTATGAGTGTGGACAGAATCGGCACGTTGTTGAGACATTCCTGTTCAACTGGCCTTCAAATAAAATAAAAAAATGTTCAGGAGCGTCTGGAGAACAGGATGAGTTTGTTAATGACAGGTAATGAAGAACATCATGTAATAATGTTGTTTGGTACTTATTATACCTAAGACGTGCATGCTGAAATGAGACGCATATTAAGATCTAGTTGTCAGGGTCTGGCAGGTTTCAGATCTCCGTTCATTTTTTTTTTTTTTTACATATAATGCCATTTTCAAATTATCCAGTTTTCCATGTAAAGTATGATAGCAACTGACTGTTCCCAGGTCAGGCTGAACACATTACCTCAGATTTCAGAATGAATTTGTTCATGGTTGCAGTGCACATGTTCAGATTTAGCAGTCTTCAAATATGAATATTTACACCACGAATTACACTTTATTTGTAATGTGAGATATGTTTGCATTTTACATAGTTTTGTTTTTAGCAACGGCTAAATGTATTGGCATTTTCATATTTTTCACAATGTTGCTCTTCTATAAAAAGCTTTATTGTGCAAGCAAATTGCATGAAGAAAAGACTAAATAGCACCTTTCAGCTCAATCATGCAGTGTTTTTTGCTTGGCACGTATCGTCATGCCTTTAAATGGTTTGGTTCCTATTCAGCTCATACTGTGATGGAGGAAAACAAAACAACCAGTGTGACATTGAAGGATTACTGAAAATTTTTGTTTAGTTTCAGCAGATCTACAATAAATAAGTTAATGAAGAGCAAATATATTGCAGTTCAAAAGTTTGAGGTGAGCAAAACAAATTTAAGAAATAATTTTATTCAGCAAATTTTATTTCATTTTAGGAATTTGCTGTAAGATCACATGACATGGGTGACACGGTGGCTCAGTGGTTAGCACTGTCGACTCACAGCAAGAAGGTCAGGCACGGCTGGGTCAGTTGGTATTTCTCTGTGTAATTATCATGTTCTCCCCGCGTTCACATGGGTTTCCTCTGCGTGCTTCTGTTTCCCCCACAGTTGAAAAACCCGGATAGGTGAGTTTAATAGACTAAATTGGCCGTAGAGTATGTGTGTGAATGAGTGTGTATGGGTGTTTCCCAGTACTGGTTTGCAGCTAGAAGGGCATTTACTGTGTAAAACATATACTAGATAAGTTGGCTGTTGGCGACCAGTGATGAATAAAGAGACTAAGCCTAAGAGCTTTAAAGTTTTCGCATTCTATAGCAAACAGTATGGCTGCGTCCGAAACCGCATACTTCCATACTATATAGTACAAAATCAGTATGCGAGCCGAGTAGTATGTCCGAATTCATAGAATTCGAAAATCAGTATGCGAGAAGTACCCGGATGACTTACTACTTCCAGCGAGATTCCGGAGTGCGCATCCCATGCATGCTGCGCTATCCCATGATGCCCCGGGAGCGAATTCATGAATGGAAGTAAAGCGACGCAACTGACGCAAGTAGGTCACGTGACCATGACAAAATGGCGGATGTAGTACGTCCGAATTCCATTCATACTTTTCACATTCATACTGTATAGAACGTACTTTACTAACGGCCGAGCAGTACGTTTAAATTGAAATGCAGTACCTACTGCGTAGTAGGCGGTTTCGGACGCAGCCTATGTGTGTAACATTTGTTTTTTTTTAAATAAAAAGTATTAAAATGTAAACAACTTATAAAAAACATTCCATCATGTAAATTAGTTGTCATTTAATAAGAATATGTCAATAACTCAATTTTGACAAAAATGTAAGATAGAACCTTATAATTCTAAGGTAATGATTTATTGGTTTAATTTATTTTAAAAAGACTACTCATTTTCACTACCAATCAACCCGATTTCTATATTTTTATTGTATTAAAAATAATGATGATGCTATTGCATTGTTTTATTTATTAACTGACAACAAATTAGAGAAATTTTTTGACATCTTTTTAATTATCATTATCATTATTTACTTGTTTATTTAGTTAGTAATTTTTTTAAATGATCAAAAAGTAATATTAAAAAAATGTATATAACAGTTACTATAATGAAAAAATATTATTATTATTATTATTGCCATTTTTTATTAGTTTTTAATGTAACAGTAAAACTATAAAAAATAATACATATGGTTGTTTTCAAACATTCATGTGGGTTTTAACAGCAAAATAAGCCACTCCAAGAACCAGAAAATTATTGTATAGTGCAATAATTTTTTTTAAAACTGTGAATCAGATTTAATTATTTAATTAATTTATAATTAATTTTTAATTAATTTATAATTATTTAAATTAAGATTTAATTTATAAAATCATAACAGTCCTTACAATGTGATTAGAAATGACTATGGTTAATGGCTAACTAATAACATTTCATATACTGATTTCTTATTTATTTTTGGCTATATGGAGCCTGGAAAGTAAATATTACAAACATTATATAATTGTGAGTGCAACCAAATAAAACAATTAGATGACAATAAATAAAATGTATTTAATAAAGTGCATATACAGTTAAAGTCAGAATTATTATCCCTCCTGTGAATTTTTTTTTCTTTTTCATATATTTCCTGAAATGATGTTTAACAGAGCAAGAACATTTTCATCTTTATTTCTCACTCATCATCATGTGTCAAGCAATTATTGTTTGTTATTTTAAACAACTCTTCAGCATTTTGATCTCTCTCTCTCGGTTCGCACTTTGGTTATAAATCTATACTGAATTGTTTGGGAAGCCTTTTACCAATTAGCTGTAAAAACTCCAGAGCGATATAAGCCAAATGCACTTTTTTTATCTTCCGTCTTAATCAGCACCACGAATGCTACAAAAAAGTCGTGTTTCTTTTAGCACTCTGCCCTTAATGTATAATTACATAATTAGTCTGCCACCATTAATTTAATTGCAACCTTCTGATTAGAGGCATTGCATAAGGCCTGTAAAACAATGCGTTATGTGACTGTCATTCCAGCGTGTGTTTGTGTGTGGTCCATCATTACCTGCTGTGTGCTTGTGGTGTAGACCATGACAGCCCAAGGGTTCGGGAAAGAGTCGCCCTGCAGGTTGAGGCACACGTTTTCTCCGGGACCCTCAGGATCCCAAAACAGACTCCAGGCACACCAGCGCACACACTGCATAAACGCTGCTCTGGGCACAGCTGTGGATGTCAGCTAGTGAAATGGAGAGAAGAGAAAGAATGTCGGGAAGAGATATTTTGCTCTGTTTGTCCTGAAATAGCACCGTCTGATGTCTCAAGGTATCGGAACAGAGTGTTGCTCTTTGAATGGGACTAACTTGTGTGGATGGGTTGAAGTAAATTTCACAATTGCTTGGAACAAAATGAAGAAGTAAGCTTTTTTCAGACTGTTAAAATGTGGAAAAGACAGAAAATAAAAGCAATTAAATATATTTAAAGTATTTATAATGTATAAATCTTTATATGGAGACATTTATTTATGTTAACACTTATTAAAGGGGTGGTCCACTTTGATATCATATTTTAAACTTTAGTTGATGTGTAACGTAGCTGTGTGAACATAAATAACATCTCTGAATGTAATACGCTCAAAGTTCAATGCAAAGGGAGACATTGGCTTTTACAGAGTTAGCTTAGAAAAGCCTACAGCAAATAAAGTATAGGGACTACAAAAAAAGTACATTCAGGTTATTCAGATCCTAACGCTTCAGGTTACGGGCATTATCCACACGCATCCACCTTGCGCAGTGAAGAGGTGTGGCCAGAGGCACTGTATTGTTATAGCAGAGAAAGCGCTGCTTACCACAGAAAAGTTCCCACAGAACGTATTCTGTTTCTGTATTTGGGCTTCCAAAGGACACAGCACAAAGACAGAAGTGCTTACAATTTCATTTTAATTATGTTTCAGAGAATTAGAAAAACAGGTATAGCTAGCATTTGACACAGGACAGCTTCCAAAATCTCTCCCAGTTCAGTACTGGATTCGGCTAAAAAATTCCTTAAAGCAGCTCCAACCATAAAAGACAACACTGTGGATTATGAGCCACAACATGTATTTTTATTTGTTAAAATTGATCTATGAAATCCATAGTGTTTAGCGTTAACGGTATGTTGTAGCAAGGATGTAAATAAGGATGTAAACAACGGGAAATGCTGTTTGGCACAATTAAGCTACAAATTCATATTTATCCATCAAACCGCTACAAACAGCCCCAATCTTCAGCAGCGCTGCAGTGTCTCTCTATGCGGCCTCATTCCGTGCATTCCACATCTCAAATAACAAACTCGCAAAAGATGTGAGCGTTTCATATTACTGACAAATGCTTATTGCGAATATGTGAGAGACACTTGTCAGATTTTATTCCTGTCTGATTCAGGCCCAAACTCATACAGCTAAAAGCTACTCTGACTGACAGTATTTACATAGCGCAAAAGCGTGTGCTTGTAGTAGTGTGACGCTTTTCCTGGTGACATGGAACCGATCCACGAATCGCAGCATATTATGTAAGCTGATCAATCAAAGCCTTTCGGAGGAACTGGGAAAAATTTAAAATTGTTTTTATGTTAGCAGAGTAGCTGTATACAATTACAGAAAGATATATAAAAAATAATAATATGAATTTTTTTTTTTTTTTTTTTTTTTTTTTTTTTTTTTACAAATGAAGCATGAGCACACATTGCTTTGCCTCTTATAAACACAACCAAGTTTTAGAAATACACTCTGGACCACCCCTTTAATACTAAGATTAAAATAGAAAATTATAATTTTTTCAATAAATACATTCTTTCTTTGGTCATTTCTACACAAATATTTATAATGTAATTAAGTACAGGAGTACATACTATTAAGTACACAAAATAGCAATAAAAATAAATGAGAAATAGTGTTTTAAATCTGGTTTATACTTGACAATATTTTTATAAATGTATTATGCCTAACATTGATATTAATAATAATAATAATAGTTATTATTATTATTATTAAGGCGACGCAGTGGCGCAGTAGGTAGTGCTGTCACCTCACAGCAAGAAGGTCACTGGGTCGCTGGTTCAATCCTCGGCTTAGTTGGTGTTTCTGTGGCGTTTGCATGTTCTCCTTGTGTTCGCGTGGGTTTCCTCCGGGTGCTCTGGTTTCCCCCACAGTACAAAGACATGCGGTACAGGTGAATTGGGTAAGCTAAATTGTCCGTAGTGTATGAGTGTGTGTGTGTGAATGTGTGTGGATGTTTCCCAGAGATGGGTTGCAGCTGGAAGGGCATCAGCTGCGTAAAAATGTGCTGGATAAGTTGGCAGTTCAATACGCGTCGGCGACCCCGGATTAATAAAGGGACTAAGCCGACAAGAAAATGAATGACTTTTATTATTATAAATAAATGATTATTAATACTTTTATTATTATTATTATTAATATTATTATTATTTACACTTATTTGTAATTATAATAATAATAAAACATTCATTTACATTCTTTCTTTGTCAATTTCTGCACAATTATTTCCAGTACATAAAGTAAGTATTTAACTTTTATATTGTTTAAAATTTGTTTTATACTTGATGCTTAATAAAAATAAAAATAAATAATACTATCAATAATAATAATAATAATAATAATAATAATAATAATAATAATAACAAAATAATAATAATAATAACAGAAAAAACCTGTTCAAGTATTTTTTTTCTTTAGTCTTTTATCACAATTATAGGATATACAGTAATATTATTACATTGATTCCTATTTTAACGTTCCGTTTTTTTTTTTTTTGAAATTGTATTTTAAACATTGCATTTATTAAAAATAAAAACCAAACAACTAACATACTATTATTTCCACAATTCTTAAATACACAATCAAGGAAAAAAATAATTTAAATTATTTCCAAAAATTATTTGATCATAAATATTTAAACATTAATATATTCCATTTAATTATAATTAATGTATTTCATAATCAGCTGAACAATGATCTCTAATTTGAAAACCATGCTGCCAGAAACACTTTTTCTGAACGAAACATCAGCAGCCATAATCACACAAATGAGAAACATTCGATCCTTTTATCTCACAAGTCACAACAAGTATACACCAACTTAGTAAGCGGAGCAGACCGAGTGAAAAAAAAGAACGAAAGATGACTGATAAAAGGCAGAAGTGAGCCTCCTCTTGGCTTTAGCGGTGATCCCTTGAGATCAAGCATTAAAGGCGATCAATAAATGAGCTGGTCAGGCTCAGCTCACCGTAATTAATCATGATGGAAAAAGAGCGAGGCAGAGGAGGAATTATTCAGCCCTTCTCTCTGAGGTTTGATGTATCTGGCCTGTGATATATAGGCTGTATGGTAAATACTCCGCAGTTCAGCAAAGAGTGTTAATACAGGAGCTTTATCTCTCTCACGGAGATGTATTTCACACTTCACAGGAGATTTAGCTTCAGCTTTAGCGACAGGGACAGCAGTTGCTCAGTCTCTCAGATTCGCTGTGCCGCTATCAGCCTTGAGTAAAAAATGTCACAAATCAACTCAATTATGAGCTTTCAGAAGAAACTTGTACTCGGAGAAAGCGCTGTCAGTCCCTTTCAGAACCAATGACAAGTGAACCTCGGCAGAGTGTGACTGTACAAATGACAATACAAATATTTCAACTACTTTCAAATGAAATATATTAATGATACAATACATATTTAAAGATTAAAGAAAACCATTTAAATATTTTAATAGTCAAGTATTGCATATTTATTATTAGTATTGTCATAATATTCATTTTAAAATGCATTACATTCAAAACATATTACAAAACTATAATAAATACAAAAACTTTATTTAATAATTATAATAATAATAATAATAATATAGTTATTAATATATAATATAGTTATTATTATTACTATTATTATTATTATTATTATTATTATTATTATTATTATTATTATTATTATTATTATTATTATTATTAATTATTACTATTATTATTATTATATTTATTTATATTGTGCAATTAGGGATGCACCAAAATTAAATACTTGGCCAAATACCAAAACCAAAAATACTTTGTAATAATTATTTATTATAAAAAAATTTACAAAAACAAAATCAAACAAGCCAATAAAATTACCACATTTTATTGACAGTAAAATTGTATGGACAGTGAATGAGTTAATAGGCGGATGAAAATTTTGTGCATCCCTAGATTAAACACATTATTACACACTCAAACATAGGAGATAAGTCTAAAGGAGGTTATAATTATGTAATTTGTTCCAGAATAACTACAGTGGAATAATAATTAATAATAATAACAATAATGTATTTTATATAGCACCTTTAAAAGTTATGTTATCAAAGCGCTATACATACAAACCAAGACAACATGCATAAAAGATACTACAATGATAAAAGATAAAAACCGATCATTAAAGTGTCTTTCCTGAGTTTGATGAAAAAAAACAAGAATTGGCATGAACATACACATATAGTCGTCGATATCATTGCTCAAAATTTCATGTTAGAAAAATATAAACCATATACATTCAAAAAATGATTCTTTATAAGAAAAAATATAAAACAAGTATTTAAAATATATATATATATATTTAAGACTGTGCTCTATCTAGGTCACCGCTCAAACATCTAAATCTGTGATGCAGATCACCATTTGGCTCATTCTCAAATTATGCTGCAGAAAATGATGATCCACAAACTTGTGGAGTTCACGCAGCTCAAGTGCTGCCTTCATTAAGCAAAAAGAGCTTGTGTGCACTCTTACATTACTGACACCTGGAGAGCTGCATAACACATGCTGGGATATTAACTGGCAACTATATTTCTAAATAAAGCACCAGCAGCTCCAAGAAACACATTCCTTCTAATGGCGCTCTATTCATAAAGGTGTATACTCGGCAGAGAGTCAGTTTTCCTCAAAGGAGAAGGTTCCTTCAAATCCATGCATAATCCTTTGAACGCTTCAGATATTTAAACTGAAGTTCGCCAGCTTTTGTTCAACCTAACATGGTCTGAAGATTGAAATAATCGCTGCTACATAATTTACCCCGAATCCTTCTTGTCAGCTCCCAAGCTCCCCTCTCACTGGAGTCAACACAATTTCATTCTGGAGCGTTTCCCGCTCTGAAAGAGCTTTTGAGGAGATTGATGCTGAATCTCTCTCTGGAGATGACTTTGATTAGAATTATGTCTTTTATATAACATAATAATTGAG